AAGCGGAGGCTTGGGGACTGCTTTGCAGAACACCTACGCTCGGTTCGCACCATTTCAACTCCCCCTCCCATTCCTCAGATGACATGTCCATCCTGGGCCTCCTGCAGTGCCACAACGATGCTACCCGAAGATTGCAGGAACAGCAACTCATATTCCGCTTGGGAACCCTGCAGCCCAATAGTATCAATGTGGACTTCACAAGCTTCAAAATCTCCCCTCCCCCTACCGCATCCCAAAACCAGCCTCTTCGACCTGTCTGTCTCCTCTCCACCTGCCTTCTCCTCTATCCATCTCCCCCTCTCTCCCTATTTATTTCAGAACCCCCTTCCCCTCCCCCATTTCTGAAGAAGGGTCTAGGCCCGAAACATCAGCCTTCCTGCTCCTCTGATGCTGCTTGGCCTGCTGTGTTCATCCAGCTCTACACCTTGTTATCTCTTGAACTTCCATGTTGCCTGCCACTTCAGTACTCCATTCTGTTCCCATGTCAACATTACTGTTTAAGGTATGTTGCAGTGCTCCAGTGAAGCTCAACACAAGCTGGAGGAGCAATACCTCATCTTCTGCTTAGACACCATACAGCCTTCAGGACTCAGTATCAGATTTAACAATTTTAGAGCGTTAACACTCAATTTCTGGTCAGTAACCTCCTACAATATCCCTGGTCCCATCATGAAATGAGGTTGCTTTCAGAACACCCAACCCATTGTCAACTACTAAGTCCCCATTATCACCTTCTAGCTTCTCTTCTTCACTGACTTACCATCAACAAATTGCTTTGCCTGCCCATTCCTTTTTCTCCATCTCTGGGCTCCCTCTCCACCTATCTGCTTGCTCCTTTTCCTCCTAACTCCATCATAAGCTTAAATACCACCTTTTCCTAGCTGCTTCTCATTCTGAAGAAAAATCACAGGACTCAAAACATTAACAGCTCTCCCTCCACAGATGCTGCCAGATGATAAAACCATAAGACTTAGGAGCAGAAATTAGGCCATTTGGCCCATCAGCTATGCTGTGCCATTCAATCATGCCTGATAAGTTTCTCAACCCAATTCTCCTGCTTTCTCCCTGTAACCTTTGATCCCCTTGACAATTAAGAATCTATCTATCTCTACCTTAAATACACTCAATGACCTGGCTTCCACAGTCTTCTGTGGCAGTGAATTCCACAGATTCACCACTCTCTGGCTGAAGAAGTTTCTCCTTATTTCTGTCCTAAAGGGTCTTCCCTTTACTCTAAAGCTGTGCCCTCAGGTCCTAGTCTCTCCAGCTAATGGAAACATCTTCCCAACATCCACTCTGTCCAGGCCGTTCAATATTCTGTAAGTTTCAATCAGAACTGCGGAGTTTCTCCACGCATTGTTGTTGTTGTTTGTTTCAATTCCTCAATTCTTTGTTTCATCATAAAAGTATTATACTTCTGAGTAACTCGAGTCACATTAGCAGGGAAAAAATTGAAAATGTTAGGGGTGCAAATGGACAAGAGGGTCCTGATTGAAGTACATATCTCAATTAATTCGTGGGACAAGGGTGTTGCTGTCTGGCAAGCATTTATTGACCGTCCCTAATTGCCATTGAGGAAGTGGTGGTGAGCTGTCTTCTTGAACTGTTGCAGTCCAAGTGCTGTAGATAGAGCCTTACAGAGAAAATTTCAGTATTTTGACCCAGTGAAGGAACAGCATTATATTTCCATATCTGGATGGTGAATGACTTGGAGGGGAGCTTGCAGTAGGTGCTCCCATGTATTTGCTGGCTTTGTGCTTGCAGATGGCAGTGGTTGTGAGATTGGAATGTGCTGTCTAAGGATCTCTGGTGAATTTCTGCAATGCATCTTGGAGATGGCACACACTGCTACTGAGTGTCAGTGGTGGAGGGAGTGGATGCTTATGTGTGTGGTGTGAATCAAGCAGATTAGTTTTACCTAGATGGTGCCAAGCTTTTTGAGTGTTGTTGGAGATGCACCCATCCAGGCAAGTGGTGAATATTTCATCACACTCCTTCCTTGTGCCTTCTGAATGGAGGACAGGCTTTGAGGAGTCAGGACGTGAGTTATTTTCTGCAGTATTTCTAGCATCTGACCTGCTCTTCTAGCCACTATAATTATACAGTGAAAACCAAAAGAACTGCAGATGCTGTAAATCAAGAACAAAAACAAAGTTGCTGGAAAAGCTCAGCAGGTCTGGCAGCATCAGTGAAAGAAAAAACAGAGTTAATGTTTTGGGTCCAGTGACCCTCCCTCAGAACTGTTGTTGCTAATTATGCAGTGAGTCCAGTTGGGTTTTGTGGTCAATGCTAACCCCAGGATGTTGATAGCGGGGGGTTCAGTGATGGTAACATAGCTTCTCATCCCTGCCATAAGCCTATTGAATCAACCTGTTTGACAAATTTCTGCATGGTAGACTGGTGAGCAAGGTTAGATCATATGGAATCCTGGGAGAGCTAACCATTTGAATACAAAATTGGCTTGAAGGTAGGAGACAGACGATAGTGGTGGAGGGTTGCTTTTCAGACTGCAGGTCTGCGACCTGTGGTGTACCGCAAGGATCGGTGCTGGGTCCATTGTTCTTTGTGATTTATATAAATTATTTGGATGTGAATATAGGAGGCATGGTTAGTAAGTTTGCAGATGACATCAAAATTGGTGGTGTAATCGACAGTGAAGAAGGTTGTCTCAAAGTACAATGAGACCTTGATTAGATGGGGCAATGGACTGAGGAGTGGCAAATGGACTTTAATTTAGATTGATGTGAGGTGTTGAATTTTGGTAAGGCCAATCAGGGCAGCACTCATACACTTAAAAGGTCCTGGGGAGTGTTGCTGAACACAGAGACCTGAGGGTGCAGGTTCAACGATCCTTGAAAGTGGAGTCGCAGGTAGACAAGGTAGTGAAGAAGGCATTTGATATGCTTGCCTTTATTGGTCAATGCATTGAGTATAGGAGTTGGGAAGTCATGTTGCGGCTGTACAGGACATTGGTTGGGCCACTTTTGGAATACTGCATTCAATTCGGGTCTCCCTGCTACAGGAAAGATATTGTTAAACTTGAAAGCTTTCAGAAAAGATTTACAAGGAGATTGCCAGGGTTGGAGATTTTGAGCTATAGGGAGGGGCTGAATAGGCCAGGGCCTATTTACCTGGCTAAAGGGGGACTCTATAGATGTTTATAAAATCTTGAGGGGCTTGGATAGGGTGAATAGCCAGGTTTGGGGATTCCAAAACTCGAGGGCATAGGTTTAAGGAGAGAGGGGAAAGATTTAAAAGGACCTAAGAGGCAATGTTTTCACATAGAGGGTAGTGCTTGTGTGGAATGAGCTGCCAGAGGAAGTGGTGGAGGCTGGTACAATTACAACATTTAAAAGGCATCTGGATGAGTATATGAATAGGAAGGGTTTAGAGGGATATGGGCCAGATGCTAGCAAATGGGACTAGATCAGTTTCGGATATCTGGCTGACATGGATGAGTTACACTGAAGGGTCTGTTTCTGTGCTGTATATCTCCATGACTCTATGGGAAATTCATGACTTATAATCAATCTCAATGTTGCGTGTGATGCTTGTGGATTGAAAATGTTCCAAATTTATTAACATTATTTTCAACTTGTTTCCTTGCTTTCATTTCATCCTATTCCTTTTCCTCATTAGTTTCCAAAATGATTCGCAAATTAGAGGTAGATCTTGCAGACATCAAATCTGATTTTTTTTTTCTGTGCTGTTGATTTACGGGCATGTAATTTCTGTTGCTATATATGAATGCGTAATTTTTCATTTGCATTTCTTTGCAAATGTTAGGTCACAGAGTACCCATGAATATATTAATATCTACAAGGTTATCTTCTGCAAGTTGAAAGAAGCAAATGTGGCATTCTTCTGAAAGAAGCAAAGCTAGGCAAAGTCCATTTGGATGTGAACATGTTACAGGCTATCATCTTTGTTCCAAGATTAATCATTTCTTTGACATATAAGAGTACTGAGGTAAATAAATGTAGGAAAGACCATTCTTCTGTCATCTGTGCTTAAGTCTTTGTCAAATCTTTCAAATACAGAGAATAGAAGGTACAGACAATAACATCCCTTTAGTGGTACAATTGTCACCTCCAACATTGATTCAGAGGTGTAGATAGATTTGAACTTACTGTGTACTGATGGTTCATTTACTACAGATGATGCATTGAAAGAGACCCTATTGGCTTATTTCTCAGATTCTGATCATACTAAAGACATTGTTGTACGCTCTGCCTGCTTGACATTATTTATTGGCTTTGAAGCAAAACACAATTAAATTCTTCCTTCCTTGAATATAAATTCCACCAATGTCTTAAAGGTGAATTTGAACTCTTGCCCCCAGAGCCTGCCTCTGTAAATTACTAACGTAATGATGTTACCATAATGCCACCATTTTCCATCAGGTTTATTTCCATTCTGTATCCTTTCTTGTACCATAACCCTTTATACTGTTGCCAACCAAAAAGCTATTGCTTTCAATCTTATAATTTCAATTGAATATATACAGTCTTTTGAAAGAGCAAGTTCCAGAATTCTTTCTGTGTGTAGTAAGAGTAGAAAAGCAGAATTTGTTTTAATGTGAGAGTTTAATCTAGTGAAAAAAATTGCACAGCCATGGACAAAGTACAACTGCTTTAAGAGCCAGTACAGTCAAGTGGGGTCAAATGGCCTCTAGTACTGTAACAGTCTGATTCTGATTCCTGGTAAAAGAGTTTGCGGATGCATGCCTAATGAGAGTCAAAGCTCTGTGTCCCAGTTAAACCACTGCTCAGCACTTTCATATTTTTCTTCAAGTAATGAGATTATTTAATTGTTTACAATATGTTGCCTGATATCACATTCAAACACTGGGGAGGGACAATACATGTCATTGATTGAAAATGAATCTTCCTCCTCTGGGTTAAACATTTTATCTTCTTAAAAATGTCACTTTGGAGAAGTGGTCATTTCTATTGTCAGTCGGTAGGATTTACAAAACAACAAAATCTGTTTGTTTTCAGAAAGACAACTCTGGGAAACATGTTCTAAATGCAACAAGAGGAGACCAAAGCGGTCTCACCATTGCAGTAGGTGTGGGCATTGTGTTCGGAAAATGGATCACCACTGTCCCTGGTAAGCTTTTGTTAAACTTTCAAACCTGACACTGGAAAGAAATAACATTTACATATACACCAAAAATCAAACAAAACAACTTATGTGTGAGATTTGATAAGACCATAAGATGTAGGAGTGGAAGTAGGCCATTCAGCCCATCAATCTGCTCTACCATTGAATAAGATCATGGCTGATCTATGATCCTCAACTCCACCTTTCTTTCTTTTCCCCATAACCCTTAATTGCCTCACTGATTGAAAATCTGTCTATCTCTGTGCTGAAAATACTTCATCACAGCCTCTACAGCCCTTTATGACAAGAATTCCACAGATTCACCCTCCTCAGAAGAAATTCCTCATAGGCTCTGCCTTAAATGTGCAATCCCCTATTCTGAGATTATGTCCTCTGCTCCTACACTCTCTGACAAGGGGAAGCAACCTTCCCACATCTGCTCCATCAAGTCCCTGAAGTATCTTGTAAGTCTTAATAAGATTGTGCCTCATTTTTCTAAAGGAGTAGAGACCCAACCTACTGAACGTTTTCTCATAAGACATTTCCTCCTGACTTGGTATCCATCTGTAGTATCTCTAAAGTACCTCCAATGCCAGAATGTCTTTCCTTAGATAAAGGGGCCTAAAAGTGTCCACCATATTTCAGCTGTGGTCTTTCTAATGCCTACTATAGCTTTAGCAAAACCTCCCTACATTTGTACTCTATTTCCTTTGAAATAAAGGCCAGCATTCCACTTGCCTTCCCTGTTATCCACTGAACTGAGCTGCTATCATCTTGTGATTCAGGGGCAAGTACTTAAAAAATCCCCTGTTCCACAGCTTTCTGCAGTTTTTCTCCATTTAATTTTCTGCTCATTTATTCTTCCTGCCAATGTGCTTAACTTCATATTTTCCTGCAATATATTCCATCTGCCAAGTTTTTTGCCTACTCCCTTAACCACATGTAATATGGAGGAACTGTACATTTTGAAAATGGATCTCGTATGGGCACTGGATACAATCACTCAGAGTGTACACCGTGTTAATGGATCATGGTCTCAGAGCTACCATTTGTTAATTTTGATCAGATCATGCAGTACGGGAATAATAAATGCCACATTTGTAAGTTGTTGGTGCAGGATAAAGGAGGATTTTTATCATGGCTTAGAAGCCAATTCCTAAAACAGATAACCTACCAACTGACTAGATATTTAGACTGCTTTTTTGAATACTATTCTAACAGGTACTGTGTAGATCAGTTAGTGTAATGTTGCTAGTATGATGGATACATAATGTTTATTCAACAATGTTGTGGAAAAATATGTTGAAACTGCATATTAATGTGGATATCAAATGGAAAAGTCTTGCCCGACCAATCTTGTTGTTACTTTTCCAAAGAATTAATAAGAGTTGGCGAAGGTTTTGCATGGCCTGAAACACGCACAGGCTTTCAAAATGCCTTCAGGAAGGTACTGTTTAGTGAACTGAAGACTAAAGGCAGAGCACAGAGTCAAGGTATTGAGTAACTCAGTTGATAAAACAAAAACAGAAGTTTCTGGAAAAGCTCAGCAGGTCTGGCAGCATCTGTGAAGAAAAATCATAGTTAACGTTTCGGGTCCGGTGACCCTTCCTCAGAAATGATAACAAGCTGGTTACAGCGAGTGTGAGTTCAGGGAAATGGTGGCTCCTGACCTCATTTCAAACTTGGTGCAAACATGGAGTTAGGGACTGAATTTAAGAAATGAGGAGAGAATGACTGTCATTGACATCAAAGCTGCATTTGACCGAGTGTAGCATGAAGCAGATCTGGCAAAATTGGGGTCACTAAGAATCGAGGGCAAACACTCCATAGGTTGGAGTCATATTTGGTGCAAAAGGAAGATAATTGTTGTTGATGAGGGTTAGTCATCTCAGCTCCAGGGCATCTCTGACGAAGTTCCTAATATCCTTGGCGCAACCATCTTCCGCTGCTTCAATAATGATTTTCCCTTCAACATGAGATGAGAAGCAGAGGGTATTCACTGATGATTGCACAAATGTTCTGCACTATTCCTAAGTCCTCAGATACTGAAATAGTTCATGTTCAAATGAAACAAGACCTGTTTAAAGTTTTAGACTGATAAGTGCTAATTAACAATTGTATTACATAAGTGCCAGCCAGTGATGATCACCAAAAATAAGTCTAACTAGCATCTTTGACGTTCAATGCATCACTATCACTAAATTCCCACTATCAATATCCTGGAAGTTACCATCGACCAAAAACTGAATTGGACTCATCACGTTAAACGTGGCTACTGGGAGAGTCCAAAACTAGAGGGCATAGATTTAAGATGAGAGGGAAAAAACTTAAAAGGGACCTAACGAGCAACTTTTTCATGCAGAGGGTGGTGGGTGTATGGAATGAGCTACCAGAGAATGTGGTGGAGGCAAGTACAATTACAACATTTAAAAGGCATCTGGATGGATATAAGAATAGGAAGAGTTTAGAGAGGTATGTTCTAAATGCTAGCATATAGGACTAAATTTATTTAGGATATCTGATCGGCGCGGACAAGTTGGACCGAAGGATCTGTTTCCATGTTGTATATCTCTATGACTCTAAGAGCAGTTCAGAGGCTAGGAATCCTGCAGTGAGTAACTTAACTCCTGACTCCCAAAAGCCCATCCACTATCTACACAGGCACAATTCAGGAGTGTGATGAAATACTTCCCACTTGCCTGGATGAGTGCAGCTTCGACAACACTCAAGAAGCTTGACTCCATCTTGGAGGAAATAACCCACTTAGTTGTTTGTGGATGTAGTACCAGTCACTTCCTCCACCACTGAAACTCAGTAGCAGCAGAGAGTACCATTGACAAGGTGCACTGCAGAAATTCACCAAGGCTCCTTAGACTGTACCTTCCAACCTATAGGCACTATCGTTGGGAAGAACAAGGGCAGCAGATACATGGGAATGCTACCACCTGCAAATTCTCCTCCAACTCATTCACCATCCTGACTTGGAAATATATCTCTGCACCTTCAATGTTGCTGGGTCAAAAACTTGAAACTTCTTTGTTAAAATTATTGTGGGTCTACCTACAGAACTGGACTGCAGTAGTTCAATTTGGTAGCTTCTTAAAGACTGTTAAAGAAGGGCAATAAATACCAGCCAATGATATCCATACATCCAACAAAAGAATAAAAAGCACGGTTTGTGGTGGCTCAGTGGTTAGCACTGCTGCCTCACAGCGCCAGGGACCCAAGTTCGATTCCACCCTCAAGCAACTGTCTGTGTGGAGTTTGATCATTCTCCCCATGTCTGTGTGGGTTTCTGCCGGGTGCTCCGGTTTCCTGCCACAGTCCAAAGATGTGCAGGTTAGGTGGATTGGCCAAGCTAAATTGCCCGTAGTGTCCAGGGGTGTGTAAATTAGGTGGATTAACTGTGGAAATGTAGAGTTACAGGGAAAGAATAGGGGGATGGGTCTGGGTAGGATGCTTTTCGGAGGGACGGTGTGAACTTGTTGGACTGAATGGCCTGTTTTCCACACTGCAGGGATTCTATGATTCACTGTTGTTAAATATTTTATCTCTGGAATTGGAAGTACTTTTTGGCAGTAAATGGGATACATGTTGGAAACTAAGAAGTTTATATGTAAACCTAAAAAGGGACGAAGGGTACAGATACTCAGTTGACTAAAGCTAGTGACAAGCCAATAAGACCCAAAAAAAACTTGACTTGGGTAATAGAGGGAGAGAATTGCACACGAAAGAAAGCTATGCACCTTGGTTGGACCACACTTAGAACACCATGAACAGTTCTGGATTCAATATTATAAAGAAGGATGTAGCAGGCACTAGAGAATATACAAAAAAATTAGTAAAGATGATGTCAAAACTGAGAAGTTTTACTATTAGTTACTAGTGAACAGCTTGGGAATTTTGCTCAAGAAGGGATAAAGTAGAAGGGCCACAAGGTGGAAGTCATGATTATGAAAAGGATCTGATACAATCCATAAACATATTAGAATTATATTAGAATTGTTTATAGATTTTATTATAATATTGTTCCGACAAGTAATTGAAGTGAATAGTGTAGGGGCGTTTCAACAACACAATGGAGAAAAGAGCAGAGATTCCTGAGGAACATAAACACCTACATTCTGCTGCTGTACTTCCTCCATAATTCAATATAATAATATACCTGTGTAATTATAAATGATGTTTCTTTGTGAAGGCAAGTGGTTTCCAAAGACCATACCTCAGTCACTTTGCAGACTTATTGCAGTGTGCAGTAGCGAATGTTATAGATACAGTAACAAGTAACAAATGCAATGTCCGTTTTACTTTCTGCTGCAACTCAGAAAAAGAGGATTGATATTTATTCAAGTCTATGCAGTGGAATCTTACTCACCCTATAAATATCTCACAGATGGATAAATGGCATTTAGTCCTCTACTGTAGAAAGACATTATTATAATACTGTGTATTATAATTACACTGGTAGTTCTGATTTGTGGACATTTTTATAACAACAAAAAGTTTTAAAAGAATTTTAAAATAGTTACAGAAAAAAGGCAAAATTAGTGCACAGGTTCAAGTTCTAAATTGGTGCAAGGTGAAGTTTGATGGAATTAGACAGAAGCTTGCAGGGGTTGATTGGAGTAGTTTGTTTGCAGGCAAAGGGATCTCTGGCAAGTGGGAAGCCTTTAAAAGTGTGATAACTAGAGTTCAAAATCGTTATGTTCCTGTGAGGGTGAAGGGCAAGGTTGGCAGGTGTAGGAAATCCTGGATGACAAGAGATATTGAGGCTTTGACCAGAAAAATGAAGGAGGAATGGCTCAGGAACTTGGATCAAGGGAATCCAAGGAGGTATATAGGGGATACAGAAGTTTACTGAAGAAGGAAATCAGGAGGGCGAAAAGGGGTTATAAGATAGCTTTGGCTGAGAAGATTAGGATGAATCCAAAGAGATTCTTTAAGTATGCTAAAGGAAAAAGAATATCTACAGAGAATAGGACCCCTCAAGGACCAAAAGGGACATG